AAGCCACCCTTTTATTTCTTCTCATGTGCAGCTTCTCTCTACCTGGACTGTTTGCATACACACATACACACACACACACACACACACCCCTCATTAAAACATAAAATGGATCATTTTATTACATTTGGTATAATTGTCTGAGATGGCTTCATGATATCACCATGGTCTATTAGAGGCTTGAACAAGACAATGATAATCTTGGCATTCAGCCCATGTTTTCCTCTGCTTTTTATTGCCTGTATGATTTCTGTTCCTCAACAAGACCAGCAATTCCCTCCTCCACGCCCCCAATGTCTGGACTGTGCATTTAGCAGATGACCTTGTTATACAATCATGTTTAACAGGATTAGACTATATCATTGCATTTTAGGGATTCCTGACTATCACAGCTGTTTCTTCTCTGAAATGCTTTCACTCAATTAATGTGTACAAGATACTCCTCTGGTCAACTGTAGTTTTCCAATGAGCACCAGTGTAGAAACCTGAACACATCTATTGTTTTTTTTTTGTAGGAAAAATAATTTTGGTACCAAAAATGAAAATATTTATGATTCTTATTTATGTATGCATATCAATGAAAATATTTATTGTTTAGAAGTCTAAAAAAAACTGAGTGGTTAAGCAAAATTATTCCAAATATTATTTCTACAATAAAATCTCTATATTTCTAAAACTAAATCTCTCATGTCTTTCCATTATACTATACTCTTCACAGGACAACAGATCAAAATTCCAGAGTCATCTTTAACATCCCCTCTTCTTCCCACCCCACCTCCTCTATTTTCCGTCCCAGCCAGTCATTACCAAGTCTTGTCTATTTTCCACTTACACTATTTTGTCAGTTCCTTCCTTTCAATTGTCGTTGTTATCTTCTTAATTTGGGCCTAATTTATAAGAAATTAAAATACCCCTTGCCCTAACTGGTTTGGCTCAGTGGATAGAGCGTCAGCCTGCGGACTCAAGGGTCCCAGGTTCGATTACGGTCAAGGGCATGTACCTTGGTTGAGGGCACATCCCCAGTAGGGAGTGTGCAGGAGGCAGCTGATCAATGTTTCTCTCCCATCGATGTTTCTAACGCTCTATCCCTCTCCCTTCCTCTCTGTAAAAAAAATCAATAAAATATATATATTTTTTAAAAATACCCCTAAATGGCTAAGGGAGAGGAAAGAGCATTAGTCATTCCTGGTATCCAGTAAATCACAGTAGTGAGATATGGGAGAAGTCCCTTATGCTTCATCTACCACTTAGAATGGGTAAGTGGTGGAATCATTTCATAGCTGGGCAGCAACCTCATGATATTAGGGGAATCCTCTAGTGGGGGTCCAGCCACAGGAATATTATCAGTGGTTTTCAGCCAGTAGGGTCTCTATAGCCATGTTCTTATTCTCATAGTCTTATGTGTCTGGGGCAGGAAAAGTAAATATCATACTATAAAGTAAGCTTGGGGACTATGAAAATTGAATAAGCAAAATAAAATCATATAAATTAGTGTGCTTAAGAAAAAGAATACCTCCAAAATATAGTGTTTTAAAATTTGTTTGAAGAGTCATCATTTATTAAACTATTAGAGGCCCAGTGCATGAATTCATGCACCTTGAAAGGAACTGGGTGCCACGAGGTTGCAGTGGGCACAGGGGTGGGTCTTGGCCCATCCTCCATGCCCCTGCCTGGCCCCTCCCACCGTGGCCCCCAGTCCCCTGTCTGCCACCAGCCCTGCTCCCGCTGCTGCCGTTCCCACATGCTAATGGTGTGGCGCGATTGGCACTGGCACCAGCAGCGGGTGAAAGCAGGGCCAGCACCATCAAAGGTGCCAGCAGCGGCTGCTGCCCCATTCACCCCTCAGAATCAGGGGGAGGTGGAAAAGCCCTGAGGGGCAATCGGGGCAGGCAGCCACCGCTCGCACCCACTGACAGCACTAAGCAATTGGGACTGGGCGCCAGTAGCGGGTGTGAGCGGGGCCTTTGCCAGCAGCTAGTGCGAGCGGCAGCTGCCAGCCCCAATTGCCCCTCAGGAGCAGGGGGAGGTGGAGAAGCCCTGAGGGGTCATTGGGGCCAGCAGCCACTGCTTGAACCCGCTGAAGGCACTGAGTGATCGGGGCCGGCGCTGGGTGCCAGCAGTGGATGCAAGCTGGGCGAGTGCCCGGCAGGACTGCAGAGCGCGGGAGCAAAGAATTTTCAATAACCACCAGAGGCTTGCCCCAATGACAGCGACCGCCATGGTCTGGCGTCCCTGCTCACCTGCTCCACCATCCCACTGCGGCCAATGCCTGACATGTTCCAAGCGCACCCCCTGGTGGTCAGTGCATGTCATAGTGACCAGCTGTTCCGTTGTTCAGTCTATTTGCATATTAGGGTTTTATATATATAGATGTTCTATATAATCTCATTTTAACATACTGACATCATTTCATTATATAAAAATTAAATTTCCTCTTTATACCAACATATTATTAGCTTATTTTACAGACTAAGAAATTGAATTTCAGAGAGGTTAAGAAATTGTCTCCCTCATACACAGCTGGAAAACAGTGGAGTCAAGTTTTAAATCTATGTCGTCCATCTCCAGCATCCTGGAATGCATGTTTTCAAAATCTTAGGCAGCCTAACATACCTGTAAAGTTAAGCAGCTTTGATTCTGTTCATGTTCATCAGATTGATACTCTTTCCTATTGTAAGCCATTTCACAACATTTTATAAAAAAAACCTTCTATACCTAGAAAGTGCAAGCACACAACCCAGTGAAGTAGGTATTACTGGCCCCATAAAACCAGAAAAGAAAATAGAAGCTCCAAGAAATCAAATAACTTGTCCACTGCCACAGCTCATCAGTGAGGACTGGGGAGCCGAATCCAGGCAGTCTGACGTCCCTTCCCTTGCTAAATGAGATTAAGTCCGAATCTAGACGTGGCGGCAAGATTAAGGTTTTCCGCCTTTGTGGAAACGGAGGCTTGAGAGCTAAATGGAATTCATTGATACAAAAATGAGGGAAGTGACATGTCTGATTCCTGAGTTATGCCTGCAAAATTCAAATCTGCTCTGCTAGTTAACAGAATCTAGTTGCCTGCCTATTAGCCAGTTTTCCTCTTGATAGGGCCCCGGGCACTTGGTGTCAACATAAAAAGGCTTTTTTGAGTGACATTCTGTTTATGAGAAGATGAGTAGCAGGGAAAATGGTATAGGATCATAAATCATAAGACACCAATATTCCCCTTTAGGAGGCAGAATCGGGACCAGAACCAGCCTACTAATTAAGAGGAACTCTGAACACCTCAAGACTATCTTCAGGGATAAAAATTCAACTTAGTGGCCTTTGGCCCTGCCTTAGTGAAGACCATTTACTTGACAGACAGATGCCTATACGCAGCATTTACATCATCAGTCACTATAAATTGAATCAGCCTCAGTAGATAAAGGTGTTATCTAGCAAATGGCCCCAAATGACCTTTTTATAATTGTTAAAATGGGATGAAAAGGACATAATTAATAAATAGCTTCTCTGTTTCCTGTGCTACTCCTTTCTCTCCCCCCTTCACTGCAGGAAATATTCCTTCAGGGAAAAGTTGTTTCCTATTTCTCTCCTCCCCAGCACTTTTTAAAGAAGACTTCAAAGGAGGTCTGTGGACTGGCTCTTTAATGGACACTGCTTTTATTTCCTTTACCTGGTGTAAGGCACTGCTTAATGAATAGCAATAACTTTCTAAAATCACTGTTTGTCTAAAATTGCAACCCAGGAGTTGAATTTCATTAATCACTATGACATATTTTGGGAAGGAATTACATAGAGGATCTAAATTTGGGATCATTTAAAATAGAACATATTACATGTCAGACCCTCCCCCCCAAATAACAAAAACCATCATTGATTAGACTAGTATAGTATGACCTACAACAATAAATCTAACAAGATGCTCTTAAAATTGCTGTAGGAAGGATGCATTCATATACAAATTTGTATAAAATGTAATCCTAATCCATGTTGAGCCCACTATAATGTCTATGCTAGTGCCATGAAATATTTCTGGCGAGTTTATAAGAACATGTTGCAGGATCCTTTTTGCCTGATCCCAGAGGGGAAGAGAAAGCCGAGTCAGTGATTGGAACGCTGCCCCAAATCAGAAAAAAGCTCTACTACATATGGAAAATACTCAATTAGGGGAGGGACAGTGGAAAGAGACGAGGCTTTAATAAATAGTTGAAGCTGTCAGTTAACTATTAATGACTTATAAGTATTTATTGAGACCATCTTAACATAACCAACATAAAAGCGAAAACTGAACCATAAAACCAAGAAGTCTAATGTTCTCTGCTAAAAATCCTGATTACTGAAACAATTCTTAAGACCAATCCATAATTTCATATGGCATGCCCAAAACATGAATGATAGCTCTCTGCTTTATGGATTTCTATGAGTCCTCAGTATAAATTAGGCAATCAAAGCTGGTTAATAATATAATAATGTATGTCAATTCTAATTGAAAAAAAGATAGTTTATTGTTTCTATTGCAAACCAGTTAATTTTGCTTCACTTTAAAATATTCAATCTATCTTTGGAAAGCCCAAAATATAGCTGGAAAATACTTATGCTCTAAAAACGTGAGCTTTATGACAGAAACATTGAGGTTCATAAGTTAATTAATATGAGATCAGAAAGGAAAAATGGGATTAAAATAAATTGCTCTAGAAAGGTATCTGTCTTTGTCAATGGAGACCACATTACTGAGGGGTTTCAAAGAAAAACTGCTGTTGCAATGTTGGCAAGTTTTATGTCCAATGCAGTTTTTTAAAAGCCATCTTGCTTTTCTTGACAGGAAAGGGAGTGTTTGTTTTGTCTGCCTTCAAATTCTCATGAAAGTCACTCTGGAATCCTACACCAAGAACCTGTGCAGTGGGTAAGCTTGGCCTCCGCTGTCTGAGAGAGCTGCTAACGCAGGAGGCCTTTCCCAGAGAATGGGCTCTTTCCAGGAGGTGAACTCTACCGAGGGAAAAGAAAGAAAACCTTACCTGGGTAATCATTCTTATCTATGTCTGAGTCTCCTCTTAAAGTGTAGCCAAAGCCAGAAGGGACAGCCTGTGATGCCCACACTCCTTGCAAAATTTGGGAAGCCTTGGTGTTCAAGCCGTGTTTGTTCCCGTTGTAAATGAACACTTTGCCTCTTTGATCCTGGCCTGCAAAGGGCGCACCGATGGCAACATCTAGACAGACACATGAGCATATTTTTAAATAAAGAAGAATGTTTTGAAATAGAATTAAGTGCAATCAAAGAGCAGTGCCATACAGTCTAAAGGGCTTATTGTTTCCCATGAAATTTGTTGTAGCGAAGCAAGAGTAAGTTATTTGTTGTCTTTTCTCCATTCAACCTAAAAGGTACAATACAATAAAACCTCGATATAACGGACTAATTCAAGCAAGGGGGTGTTCATTAAACCCAAAAGTCCATCTATATACAGTGGGGCCTTGTCTTATGAGTTTAATTCGTTCCGTGATGGAGATCATAACTCAAATTACTCGTATGTCAAATCAAAAAGTGAACGAGTGAGACACGTGATGCTGGGCTGATGTTGTGGCGTTCACTGTGACGTTCGCTGCACCAACTAGCAGTGGGGTATCTGAAGCTGGCTCGTAACCCGAATTTTAGCTCGCAACTCAAAGCAAAAAATCGGCCGAGAAACGGCTCATATCTCGAAAAACTCGTTAGTCGGGACACTCGTAAGTCAAGGCCCCACTGTATATAAAAGCCTAAGCGACCGGTCAATGCACAGTAACCACGAGGGGGCAGACGCTCAACAAAGGAGCTGCAGAGCGACAGCTACTTTGCAGCGTGCCCTCTCACACTCTGGGACCCTTTGGAGGATGTCAGACTGCCAGTTTCAGCCCCATCCCCACAGGCCAGGCTGAGGGACCCCACCTGCCAGAGGGACCCCGCTCACTCTGCAGATGCCCTTCGAGGCCCAGTGCTGCCCCAGGTGCAGCCAGATGAAGAGGGACTACTGGAGGTTGGCTCCAGGGTGTGTCCAGGCCATCTCACCCAGTCCCGCCCTGCCAGTCACCTTCTAATTAATTTCCTTTCAATGTGCATGAATGGGGCCTCTAGTTATATAATAAAGATTTTCCTAACGTGTATGTTAAAAAATTGACAAACTAGTTACTTTACCTGTTTTTACTTACATAGACACGTTTATGTAATTCAAATTAAGTATGTATGAAAAGTTTAATTTCACAGAAAAGTTTTCTATATGTATTACAGTAATTTTAAATTTCTACTGAATAGGTCTAGTAAATGCTTGTATGCACCAGTCACCACGAGTAAACAAATGCACACAGCTGGGGCGTGGCTTAGCACAACTCCAAACATCTGCCAGCACACTTTCAAACTGCTGCAGAAAGTCATGTGACAACAGAACCAATCACCACTCTTGCTGTGGTGTAATCACATGCTAATCATTCACTGAACACTCTTTACGAGCAGTGACACTTGGATTTAAGTCTGTAGACTATAGCTGCAAATATGTAATATTTATTTACATCATGAAATTACTATAGTGTTTTTTCAGCATATGGCCTATTCGATAAAATTTGTTAAAAATAACAGTGAATTAATAACAAAAGTAACCTGTTGACTTAATTATAAGCAAATCTTAGAGGCATTTTAAAATTAATAGGATGTTAATTTTCACATATAATATACAGACCAGAAATTTGTCCATTAAATCTGAGGTCTGTTAAATTGAAGTCCGAAACATCGAGGGTTTACTGTACCAGATACTTAATACCAATACCTGCGAGAAGTACTAAGGAATACCGAGATGCAATAGCTGAGGCTATTTTGTTAGAGGAAACTCCTATTCATTCCACAAACTTCAATCAAGAAACCCACTATATGTTGGTTCTTAACTTAGAGGCCTGAAAAGTATGCAAGATTTTGTGTGAGCATGCATGTTTTTCTGAGGACAGGGTACTTACAAGACATTTATGAATTCCAAACTTAACCACAATCCTAAGCTAATAATTTAACCCTACTTTATTACAAACATTGAAGCTGCCTTTCAGCTGAACTTACAGACCAAACACCTGCAATAATGTAAACATGGAAAGTTTTTAATAAAAAAAAAATTTTTAATTCATCATCACCTATACATAAGCCATCTAGGTTAATCAGAAGGCCATATACTTACTAACATACGGACATATACTTATTTGTTTTGACTCGGTACCTATCAAAGATTCTCTAGTTCTCTTCGAGTCACTAAATCCAAAAATCAATTTTTTAACTTTATTTTTATTGTTGACACTATCACATATGTCCCCAATTTCCCCCTTTTGCCCACCTCCACCCAGCAGCCACCCCTTTTCCCTCAGGCCAACACCTCACTCTCATCTGTGTCTATAGATTATGCATATATGTTCTTTGGCTAATCTCTTTAAAAATTATCGCTGCCTTTATTTAGACCTGTTATATGACATACAAAATCAACATGAGAAAGTTCCCATGTAACACCTATATTAATCAAAACATATAAATTTTAGGTTGCCTTGAGATTTTTGATTGCGTATTAAACATCAACTGCATCATACACACCACAGTCAATACTTCAAAATGTCCATGCCACAGTAACATTGAATTATGACACATCAACAATTTCCACACATTGGTGTAAATTACCATGGTATCCATCTTGATTCAGGTCTCCTAAGTGGGCCACCGCACTGCCAAACCTCCCGAAAACCTCCGTGCCTGCGAGCACCTGAGGGTCTTCAAAGGTGAGAGCACTCACTTGCATATACAGGTAAACCTGACCCACTTCCCTGGGGTTACTCTCAAATTCACGTTCCATAAAGAGAGGGGCCCCAATCAGTATGTCATCCATCCTGTAGGGGACAAAGAGAGAGGTTAGCACTCTGGCAGAGATGAGGTTCTTTTTGGTATATTTTAAATCAACTGGATTAGTACATTTCCATTGGTATTTTTCCTTTAACAAGGGACATTTTACAATCATTGCCTTTCATTGATTTGTTATGTCTATGCAGTAGAATGCTGCAAGAAAATAAGGTTATTAAATGATCCCACTGAACTCTTTAATGATGTTAAAAGTGGTTGCTTTAAGAAAACCACAGATATTTCACCTTTTCCACCCTGAGTGCATTTCCAGAAACTATAGATATACAAGTAAAACATATCAGAAGGACCTAATTAGGTTTATCTAAAAGTGGATTACAGGTTTCCAGAATTTATATGCCGATACACTTAAATTATGAAGTTTTCTTGACAGTAATAAGGCTTAAAAAGAAGTTTCTCCTCCTATTTCCTATTGTTACCTTCATTTAAATAAAACACAGACCAGAGAGGGTGATAATACTGGCTAGAAAGATAAAATTTCATCCCAAAAGAGAATTTACAATTATTTTTTTAAGTGAAGATATAACAAGAAACTAATAGATAATTCTCAAGGGTGAAAAAGATTCAAGAAACAGACACCTAATCAAATTATTTAGAGATAAAGACATAACCACCAAGAATAAAAAACAAAAATGGTTAAAGGTATTTCCTTCACAGAGTCAGATAGCAAACGAAAGAATAAAACAGAGCCTTTTGCCTTAACCAGTTTGGCTCAGTGGATAGAGATCAGCCCACAGACTGAAGGGTTTCGGGTTCAATTCCCATCAAGGGCACATACCTCAGTTTCAGGCTGGATCCCTGGCCCTAGTCTGGGTGCGTGCCGGAAGGCAACCAATAGATATGTCTCTCTCACATCAATGTTTCTCTCTCTGTGTCTCTCCCCACCCCTTGCACTTTCTCTAAAAATCAATGAAAAAAATGTTCTCGGGTGAGGATGAACAACAAAAATAAACAGAGTCTTCTAAGCTATTTAGGGTTTTAAAACCATAAACATGTATTATTTTTATTTAAAAACTAGGGGCCCAGTGCACGAAAGTCATGCACTGGGTGGGGGGGGTGGGGGAGAGTGTCCCTCAGCCCAGCCTGCCCCCTCTCACATACTGGGAGCCCTCAGGCGTTGACCCCCATCACCCTCCGATCGCCTGATCGGCCCCTTGCCCAGGCCCGACGTCTCCGCCAGAGGTGTCAGGCTTGGACAGGGGACCCCCATCTCCCCCCGATCACTGGCTCTGGCCCCCGCCCAGGCCTGAGGCCTCTGGCCCAGGAATCATACCTGGGCAGGGGACCCTCATCTCCCTCTGATCGCTTGCTCCACCCCCCGCCCAAGCCTGATGCCTCTGACCCATGCTTCAGGCCTGGGCAAGGGGACCATCATATCCCCCCAGTCCCCGGCTCCGCCCCCCGCCCAGGCCTGATGCCTCGGCCAGAGGAGTTGACCCTCATCACCCTCCGATCACCAATCACCGGATCGGCCCCTTGACCAGGCCTGAGGCCTCCGGCAGAGGTGTCAGGCCTGGGCAGGGGATCCCCAGCTCCCCGCGGTTGCAGGCTCTGCCCCTGCCCAGGCCTAATGCCTCTGGCCTACGTGTCCCGCAGTGGCAGCGGCCTCGCGATCGTGGGCTTCGCTTTAGGCCCAGGCAAGGGACCCCTAGCTCCTGGGACTGCCAGCTTCGACCGTGCCCAGCTCCCATCGCTGGCTCCACCCCTACTTCCTGCTCTCACTGGCCAGGGCAGAAAAGGCGCCTGATTCTCCGATCATGGCTGGGGGGCAGGGCAAAGGCGGCCCCAGGGCCGCCTTTGCCCTGCCCCCCAGCTCTTAGCTCCCCCCTGGGTTTCTGATCACTGTCAGTGGCAGGGGGCTTCTTCCTGCTTTCCCTTTCGCCTCCCTGCATTGTGCCTACATATGCAAATTAACCGCCATCTTGTTGCAGTTAACTGCCAATCTTAGTTGGCAGTTAATTTGCATATAGCCCTGATTAGCCAATGAAAACGGTATCGCCGTACGCCAATTACCATTTTTCTCTTTTATTAGTGTAGATGTTAAAGAAAAGTCACATCAACCAAAATTTGTAATTTGATCTGTACTAATGACTTCCACTGAAATTTGTCTGCAGACACCCCGTCCTAGGAAGTGCAATCATGTGAAAATGACTTCAGACAGAAATACAAACCTGCATTTGACTTTTATGTCTATGTAGATTAGATGATGTGTAGAAGTTTGTCAAGTAAACTAACTACTAAAATATTAGCATTGATCTAAAAGGCAGGGTTGAGGTGGGAATAGTTACTGAGAGCAAGACACCTCTTTTATAGCAATCTGCAAGACTATCAACATCACTCTGACTCACCCCTCTCTCCAACTTCTTGCCTTCTGTGCGGTGTTCTTCCACTGTCTGTTTCTCAGTATGATTCAACAGACAGCCTGTGTACTGACTGTGTTTAAGATACTGTGATAAGTGATTTAACGAATACAATGACTGTTAGATCAACCCTGTTCCTAATTAACTTACAAGTGAGGTCAAACTGCTACTCATATAACTATAAACAAGGCATAGTAAGAAAAGTATGAGTGTCCAGCTGGTGTTGCTCAGTGGTTGAACATCGATCCATGCCCCAAGAGGTCACTGGTCCAATTACTGGTCAGGACACATACCTGGGTTGTGGGCTCAATCCCCAGTATGGGGCATACAGGAGGCAGCCAATCAATGATTCTCTCTCATTATTGATATTTCTAACTCTCCCTCTTCCTTCATCTCTGAAATCAATACAAATATTTTTAAAAAAGAAAAAAATATAAGTGATTCAAACTAAATGCTGGGGGTTCCAGATGGGAGATAGCATTGAACCTGGGTGGGATTCTGACAGGTAGATCTACAGGCAGGCTTTCCAGGTGATGGTGCCGTGAGCCAAGGCAAGTGTCCCTAAGTGAAGTTAGGAAACACTCAGTGGTCCAAGAAAGTTCCATGCTAGAAGGATGCCTATATATTATTTTATATAAAATCAATATTATATTAATACTAGAGGCCTGATGCATGAAAATTCGTGCAAGAGTAGGCCTTCCTTCCCCCGGCTGCTGGCACCAGCTTCCCTCCAGCACCCGGGACCTGGGCTGCTGGCACCGCTTCCCTCCGGCACCTGAGATCCAGGCTGCTTCCCTCCTCTGCCCACCGAAGGCACCTGGGACTGGGACTGGCTTCCCTCTGGCCCCAGCTTCAGCAGGAAGGATGTCTGGTCTAATTAGCACATTACCCTTTTATTATTATAGATAATGCTAGAGGCCCATTGCAGAAGGATGCCTGCAAGAATAGGGCTTCCTGCTGCTGGAGCAAAGCAGAGAAGGGAGCAAAACCAGCTGAGGCAGGCTTCGCTCCCGCCTCCCAGCCGCTGCGGCTGGGTTTTCCCTCCCTTCCTTAGCCTCTCCAGCTGGGTTCCCCCTCCCGCCTCCCAGCTGCCTCTACTTAGCTCCCTTCTGTAGCACTTCACTTTCAGGTTGTCTTCAGTCTTCACTCCCAGCTGGTATATGCAAATTAACTGCCATCTTTGTTGGTGGTTAATTTGCATATCACGCTGATTAGCCAATGGGAGGCATACCCTTTTTGTCTTTTATTAGATAGGATAAGCAATAAGAAAGCAACCTATTAAAAGTTGGGCAAAAGATCTGAATAGACACCTCATCAAAGACAATATACAGATGGCAAATAAGCATTTGAAAAGATGCTCAATATCACATATCACTAGAGAACTGGAAATTAAAACATTAATACCACTACACACCTATTAGACTGGCCAAAATCCCAAACACTGAAAACACCAAATGCTGACATGGCTGTGGAGTAACAGAAACTCTCATTACTGGTGGGAATACAAAATGGTACAGCCAGCCACTTTGGAAGACCATTTGGCAGTTTCTGACAAAATAAAACATTCATACCACATGATCCAGCAAATGCACTTCTTAACATTTACCAAAATGAGTTGAAAACTTATGCCTACACAGAAACCTGAGCGTGGATGTTAGTAGTTTTATTCATAATTGTGAAAACTTGGAAGCACCCAAAGGATTTTTCAATAGGGCAATGGATAAATAAATTGCGGTGCTGACAAAGGCAATTGCTGGTGAGGATGTGGAGCAATGGGAACTCACATTCATTGCTGGTTGAAATGCAAAATGGTACAGTCACTTTGGAAGACATTCTGAAAGTTTCTTACCAAGCTAAACATAGGTTTACCATGTGATCCCACAATCATGTTCTTATATAGTCACCCAAAGAAATTGAAAATTTATGTCCACACAAAAACCTACATTTGCCCAAAATTGGAAGCAGTCAAGATATCTTTCAATAGCTGAATGGATAAGCAGACACTGGTACATAATACAATGGAATAATCTTTAGCAATAAAAGAAAATGAGCTATCAAACCACAAAACAATGTGCAGGAACTTTAAATGTGTATTGCTAAGTGAAAGAAGTCAGTCTGTAAAGGCTACTACTATGTGATTCCAATTCTATGACATTTTGGAAAAGGCAAAACTATAGAGACAGTAAAAAGATCAGTAGTTGGCAGGGATGGGTGAGCAGAAGGATGAATAGGTGAAGCATAGGACATGTTTAGGATAATGAAACTATTCTATATGATACTATATGTGGATATATGATATTAGGCATTTGGTAAAACCCACAGAATGTACAACACAAAGTGAACCCTAATGTACAATATGACTTCAGTTAATAGTGTATCAATATTGGTCCAACATTTATAATAAATGTACAATAGCAATACATGATGTTAATAGGAAAAATGAGTGTGGAGGGGAGAGGTAGTAAATGTGAATTAGCAGTATTTCCTGCTCAATTTTTCTGTAAACCCAAATGTGCTCTAAAAAATAGTTTATTAATTGAACAAAAATGATAATTGCTAAAGTTGAGCACAGATAACTTGAGAATAGCATGAGTTTTTTTAAATTAAATCTT